AGCCTGGTACACACACCCCGCCCCCTGGTACACTCCAAAGACTCCCAAACATCTATCAGCAACTACACCTCCCCTTGGTCAGACCATGTTAGACCCGGTGATGTTTCAAAGTTTCTATCTCAGCCCTGCTATGATTCATTGTGATTCATCCGTCCGCACCGGATTCTTCCGATGTAGACCGAGGTCTGTGTCCATGCGTGTGTGGCAAAGGAGGCTGGAAGCCAGGAGTTTTTTCGAAGACCAGGCCATCTTGGAAAGTGGCTTGGCCAGATATCGAAATCATCCTGTTGGCCCGTTAGATGTGCAGAGGCAAGTGCCATGCCTGACTTTACCAGAGATCCTTGGCTGACTTGCCAGGGCGAGGGCAGGGCGCCCATCCGAGTGGGCGAGGGCAGGGCTGGAGCTGGTTGCTTCGCCTCACTGGACGACCGAGACGGTGCCCAACGCAACACCGAGGTGTTCGGCGCCGATGTTCACACCGTTTTGCGGCATAGCTAGCATAGTTAGCCATACCACAAGTCACAGGTGGTGTTTAGTCCGGCACAGTGAGCTGGATGTGACAGGGGCACCCCGAGCTCTGTGACTGGCCATCTAGTTCTGGGGGGGAGGCCACCCACTGGCCATGCGCATGGACTGGCCATGGTCACTCACGTCGGGCCCAGGATTTTGGATCAATACCATGCACCGCCTGAAATCGATTGGCTCAGCTTGGACGTGGAAGGCGCCGAATTGGAGGTCCTTCAGCCTCTCTTTCACGACGCCACGTCCCGTTGGAAGGTGGACGTGATCTCCATGGAAGCGAGGGCAGCAGATGTGATTGCAAAGCTGCACTTCATGGGACAGAATGATTATCAACTCATGGACAGGACCTGGTCTAGTCGGATGGGTCTGGTCAGTCTGGTCTGTTTGATGTCAGGGCCCCCCTAAACCACCAACAGAGATGCAACAGGCTTTTGATGCCTTTGACTAGACCAACCGACAACCGATCAGAATAGGTGGATATTGGAGGTCAGGGGTGTCTATAAACCAAGCTTTTCCGTGGTGCTGGTCATTTGTGCCTTGCAAGTTTCCTTCACAGAATAGACAATAGACTTACTGTAATAGTTTAGGTTTCCTGTGCAAGTTTAGTGTTTGGACTTAGTTCAGGGGGGAGTTCCTTCACAAGCTTCTCGTCCAGACCATTGAAGCGAAGCTTTTCGTCGAGCCTCGCGCCCTCTATCCCGAACTAGGCCCCCCTGTGATTTGGGGAACCGCCGCAGTAAAGGAAATTCATGGAAATTTCCTTTTGGCTGGAGTACCTCAAAAACCACTGGAAGAAGCCCAGAAATAGTCTTGGAACATCTTGGACCCTCCCCTGTTGATGTGTTTCATTTTCTTTTTCCTGCAGGATTGGTGATGATATCTACGTGTCCACGTGGAGCGCCTTGGAAACCTCCTGCGGCCGCCCTCCGGCGGCGCAGCGGCTCACACCGCGCTTCGCCCTGGAAAGGGTCCAGGAGCGGATTCGGCGGAAGGAGTGGATCAACGAGACCGAACGGCGCACGTTCTTGAGGTTGGCACAGCTGGCGGAAGAACGGCACTGCAAGGCTGAGAGCTTGAGTTACTTGTTGTGGAGCACCTTGTTAAGCCTTGATGCGGCCAACTTGGTTTGCAGAGGAGATGGCTTCATGAACGAAACGGCCTTATATCTGAAGCTTGCTCCACTGACCTTCGATGATTGTTCGCCCTTCTTCGCCCTACCACTCAGCCGCATCTAGGTGATGGTTTCGGATATGTTGGTGTTTCAACCCAACCACTTGGGGATGAAGAAGGACCCTTTGGGTGGGTTGAACAGTGGGTGAAACACCAACCAGGTGGGTCTTCACACACCAACCAGGCATGGACTTCGTCTTGGTGCTGATGACTCGCTGGCCGATCTTCGAAGAACTTCAGCTGCTCAGCGAACGCTTGGCATCTCGTGAGAACAACTTTGGGAACGAAGGCTGTGACTTGTATCGCCGGGATCTTCCACCGCCAGACTTCCTATTGAACGTTGCCTGACCGGAAATAAAAGAACACCCGAGGTCTGAACATGGTCCCCTGAAAAAAAGTCTCCTAGGGTCCTAGATGGTTTGGATGAGTTGGGCCAGAACCGGTCTACACCCTACACATCCCTACACCTCCAAGCACCTCCTCAGATTCGGTATGACTGGACCCGAACATGGCACCCGGGCCCCCCAGTCCCACCTTCGAAACGGTTCGGTACGACTGGAAGTCTAGGGACATGTTTGCCAGTTCCTTTTTCATCGTTTCTCTTTGGCTCGTTTCGTCCCTTGGCTCGTTTGGTTCGGTTAGTCCGGTTCGTCCCATGGAGTCCCTGAAGGTATCCATTCCAGGGCCCCTTCCAACCACCGATCGCCCCCCAACTGGACAAGGTCTTGTCGCGAATGTCCATTCGCCCCCCCAAGACCCAACCATTTGAAAGGAATCAGTAAATATGCCAGTCTCATGGAATCTTTGATCGAGTTTCCTTCTGAAAACGCCTGAAGATTCGTTTTGCAGACGCAAATGGTCAATAGGTTTGGCCTCCGCGCTTGCGTGATACTACCTTGATGTGTGGCGGCTTACGTTTGGCGCTGGTCTACTTGGAGAAGGTCCTCCAACTGCAGGGCCATGCTCCGGGACGAAATCTCACCAACTTTTGGAAGAAGAGCGTTCGGGTTGCGGAACGCTCCTTGAAGTCTTTAGCGTCTGGCCCTGAGTTGCTTCAGAACACCGGATGTGGAGATCATCCCTTCTGCAACAGAGATTAAGTGACCCTATTATAGGACCCTGGGTGCCTATAGGATAGTCATTATAGGGTGCTTCAACCTTTGCTGGCTATAGGGTCTGAAGGTTTCCACTGATTCGTCCTGCGCTCCGATGCATGAGTCATGTAGACTCTTGATTCATCAACCCACCCCATCATGTTTTTGAAGAACCCTTTCAGGCTTGGGGGGTGAGCTCCAATCAAGAGTCTATATAATATGTCTACCAGCACCCTCCAACAGGTCTCCTCTGGAGGCTTTTTGACTTGAAAGTCGCAGGTGGTGACCTGTTGGAGGGTGCTGGTACATTAACCCTATAGAAGTCCAGTTCGACGATATTTTGACCAACTGGAGGAAAATAAGGGCATTCCACTCGGGTCATCGTCAGACCACCGCGGTTCCCAGACACGACCAATTAATGGGACTGCGATAGTATCCATAGTACTGCCGAGAAACGGCCAGGCGTGGTGGTGCCAGGGGTGTCCATGTCGGCATTTTTATGGCAGTCCCATTTGGAGTGTTTGGGTGTGCGCCCCACTCACAACAAGACCTCGCAGTCCGTCGCTTTCAGGTACCGGTTCGGTATCGCGGAGTTGCTGGGAGCCATCGGCGAACTGCCTCAGAGCAAGAGTCCATGGGTGGTCCTGAAGCGTATTCAGCGGACGTGGTGGTAGGACCCGAACCATAGAGCTACGCAAGGCTCTTTGGATGGGTCGTGACTGGAGCCCCAAGATGTGGCGCCTGGACCCACATAACAAGTCATTCACAGACATAAGCCGCCCTATAGGGACTAGGGATCCACTGCCACCTTCGAAACGAAGGTACGACTGCGCGAGATGTGTCGAACACATCGCCGATCCGTAGGGAAGTGGGCCGTGACACGGGCCTCCCTTTGACGTTCACCTATGGCCCATTGATACCATACAGACCACGTACTCACAAGATCTGACAACACCTACAAGAGGCAAAGCCCAGCCGGCACCTGGTGTCGATGTTCAGCACGGTTGGCGGAACATGTTCAGGCTGAAGTGGGCGAGATCCAGCGGGAATTTGGACATGGAGATGTTCACAAGCAATTTGTGTTGAGCTTATCATGAGCTGTTGATGAACAACTGGAGTTGGCCTCCGTGAAAAGCGACCGGTGAGCAGGGCGTGTTTGATTTCGAGAGCTGTCCGCTGGATGGCAAAGGTGACCATTGTGGAAGCATAGATGGCCTTTTAATGCCTTTTATCTCCTTTTGCAGGTTTAACATCCTTGATTTATAGAGGTGATACCGCCAAGTGATTAACCTGGCAAATGCGTAAGTGACCCTGCTATTATTCCCAAAAGGGCATCATCGTTTGGAAGAGGCTCGCAGTGTGCAGGACATTCAACCCCATGACCCCGAACTGAGTCGGGCTACCCCGCTGGGCGTGGGCGCCCGTGGTACGAAATGGTACGAATTCCCGTGGTACACTCTGGCGCACTAGGTCATGTTCTTTCACATCACTTGGTGCATTTCAGAAGTGTATCCTTTGATTCCCTTAGATATGCATGGCAGTGTATGCTCGTGTGATGTAGTTTGTTTTTCTATGTTTTGCTGTATATATTGGCCAGGGAGGTTTGGTGATGGCTCCCAACACAAAGGGCCACCACCAAGGCACAAGGACCAAGCGAAATGCCAAGGTCTTGCGCCAAATGGTGCGAGTTGTGTTTTTCCATCAAGTTGCATTCTTTCAACCCATTAAAGCCACCTGTCCACTCAGATGCTCCCAGAGGATTCAGATCCGATCCCTCCTGAGGGTCCAGCGTCACGGTTTTGCATGTCAATGTCTTTCAGATAGGAATCAACATGAGCCAAACCAGCAGTGTGCAGGTCCTGCATGTGGTCTCCGTCTCCGCCCTGCTCCGCCACATCTGACACCTACACCCCCCCCATGTCGCTGAGGACGGAGGATATGGGTCACCTCCGAACTTCGTGACCGGCAGGAGGCTCGGGGGTAATCCGGAATCTGACGTGAAATGCATCCATTTCGCACCCGTGAATTGCACGGCATGCTCCGACGTCCAAGTCGTGTGTGGAGACACAGCTGCTCATGATTCATGGCTTTGCATGGAGGTTAACTTAACAGATATCAAAGGTAAACATGGTCTCTTGCGAAGGCTTGGCGCCGCCGAAGGCATTTTCTGCCCAGATAATACTTGTCTCACACCTTTGATGATTGTCGACCCCCATGCATTGCGCGATGCGCTATTTTTGCTTGGGCTGGCTGGTGGTTGCGGCAGTGGGGCAGTCGTGCCTCCACCAGGAGTGTGAGGATGGCGCCTTGCTACAGCTTTCGCACGGACTTGCCCAAAATTCCACCCAGGATTCTTGGCGTGAAACCATGTCGGTGGCGTTTTTGGTGAACTGTTCTGATTACATCCCAGTCGCCACCAAAAACCACAGGCCAGTCGCCACCAAGGTCGCCAAGCAGGTGGGAGATGAGTGCACCTCCGATGCGGAGTGTGAGACTGGCATTTGTGCACTCACCTGGTATGGCTTTGCCAGCCGGGAATACGCTGGCGACTTCTTCGATGGATACGCGCTGAAGGTTGGGGGGAGAAAGGGTCGATTTCATTGCAGCATAGCACAATCCTTCGGGCGCCGTCCCTTTGGGAATTGGCCGAAAGCCCGGTACCGCGCACCGGAGCTGGCGATGCACTCAGGCCTGCCAGCTCAAGTTGCAGGAGTTCAAGATTGAGCTCACCCGGAAGCGGAACATCAAAGGACTACATGGCGCTTGCTTTTCTGCCCATGCCAGCAGCACGGATTTGGGGTGGTTATTGGATGGAACATGATGGAACATACCCTACACCTCCAAGTCCAAGTACCTCCTCAGAAGGTATGACTGGACCCTCCTGGCACCCACCCCAGTCGCGCCTTCGAAACGAAAGTACGACTGGAGGCCAAACGGGATAGTCAGTCTACGGGGTGTAGTCTATGCTAGATCTTCAGTCCGGCACTTTTACAGGGTCCGGCGCCGGACTTCCAACTCCGGCGTTTTTCTGGATTTGGTCCGGCAGTTTTTCCAAGTCACTTTATGTGGATTCTCAAGGCTTTGCATTCTTTGTGGTCCGCATTTCTTTGAAGGTAAATCCACTACTGACGAATAATTTTGCTTGAAAGTGTGCTCGTTTGCCCGTTCCGCGGTTTTCCCATTCCACCGGCTTCAGCAGTGGCTCACACTGGCTCAATCAGATCCGTTTAGGTGATCTTCTGTATAAATGAGATCGATACAGTGCGATGATGTGCGATGCACGTGTTGAAAGACGCAAGTGGGTGTACCTAAGCTGAAAGAATAATGTATTCCCATTGTCATGAAAGCTAGCGAAGCTAGCTGGAGTTACTCTTGCGATAGCAAGGTTTCTTTCGACCGGGTGCAAATCCTAACCCCTGATTTTTCAGGTCGAACCCCCCCCCCC